ATTAAGTGATCCTGTAACTGATAAAGCGGCACCAAATTTGAAACATATCTAAAAGAATAACTTGATTTTAATTATTATTACTGGACTATTGGCATTTAGTATGGTACATACAATTACAATCAATATTATGAGTTGTAATTGTACGTAAAATTGTTGGGAACAAACACACAGTTGAGTACAAGTCATGCGTGTATCATTAGATTAATTTAATGATGCGTATATCATTAAATTAATTATTTTAATGATGTGTGTATCATTAGATTAATCTAATGATACATGCATGACTTGTACTCATGATACACTTTTTGTCCACAACAATTTTACTATATAACTGGTTAAACTAGATGAATTATATATCTTTAAATATAATCACTTAGCTAAAAACAAACTTAACACAAAAGACGCACAATAAAGAAGTAAGGTTAAAAGATGAATAAGGTAATGTATGGTAATTGGTAATAGACCAGACCCTTGCTTTGTAGAGGGAGGGACTGGCTATGAGACTAATAAGGAATGAATCTAATGAAGTGGAAATTTTGAACTTATTACAAGTCCTTATATGTAAAGATATTTATTGTTCATAGTATACTCCCACAATCAACTGTATGTTTGTCCCCACAACTTTACCACCAATCACTGAGACTATTATAACTGGTTAAACTAGATAAATTATTTTTTAAAATCATAAAAATTCATATCACTGAGCTAAAAAAAAACCTAAACACAAATTAACAATAAAAATTAGTGTCAATTGGCAATATTCATCAAAGTAGCAGTTAAAATTCCAAACAGCATGAAACTGAGGAATGGAATGAGACCATATCCACTGCTAGTAGGAGAAGTACTAGGAGCAGTTGTACTGCTTGGAGTAGTGGGGTCGGGTGTAGCATTGACAGTGGTTGATGATGATGAAGCAGTAGAAGCACCCACTTGATAAAGTGCAGCTACATGTACATGTATACTTTAAAATAAAACATTTTGATAATAAATTTTTTGTTACCTGCTTCAGGGCAATTCTCAAAGTCGTCCTAAATATTTTTAAAATACAGTATACTATTATACAATGGCAAAGTCGACTTACATAGCATATCTCAAGACATGAAGGACATATAATTGTTCCTGTGTATGTTACACTGTTGTTGACTTGATTAACTGTTAACTAATGGAGAATTGGAACTATATAAATGCTTTCCCTTTTCCCTCGGCCCACAGAACTTAAACATACCACTTCTCCAGCTTGACTGCAATGATATGATTGACCAAGAATGAATATTGTAACGGTACCATTAGAGCATTCATACTATAGCAATACTAAGAAATTGAAATAAACATGATGTAATTAATTACCTGATAGCAGCCAGCTTGAGGGAAAGGAAGTGTTACACTGCTAGAACTCATTCTAGCTACCCATGAAGTGTTGTGTTCAACGCATCTTGACCCTTCCCCATATGTTTCAGCTCTTCGATTACTTAAACCTATAAAATGTCAGTATAAAAAGAATTTGCCTCTGCTACATTAACAATCTCTTTGAAGCCATTTTTTATTTGTACATATATTTACTCCTCCTAATAACATAATACACACTGACCTTACCCTACCTTCCTCCTCATTCCTCTCTATCTCTCCCTCACATGCTTTCAGCCATTCTCCCAAAACAGAATTAATTATGATATTTTTATCTTAAAATAACAACACTTTCCTTCTTGTTGTAATTGTACAAAAACTAACCTGTGCCCCTAGCATGGCTTGCATTAGCACAATGAGTATTAGAAAAAGCCTGTAATAGTATATCAATAATTCAAAACAATCATAATTATAATTAGCTATACTGTATTGAAAGGACAGTAGTCAGCTATAGATCTAGAGCCTCCAAGAGAATTTGCCACAGGTGAATTGGCAAAATTGGCACCAGAATTAAAGTACTACAGCATGCACATAAAGCAGTTAAATAAATACTATAGTTACTAACT